GTAAAGTACCTCAGATGGTTTGACGCAGTTTTCCAGAAATTGTCAGCAACAGACTTGAGAATGGTCGTCAAAATTAGTCGGATTTTGATGCCGAGAATGAAGCGTCTATGTGATCGGAAGAAAGGGGATTAAAAACTCTGAATCTGTGGTTAAAATGGGGAAAAAGGCATTCCCACTTCCGTCTGTCAATTTTGGTTTCCATACGATAACTTCTATTCTGATTGGTTGGTTATGTCGACATCACTTGTGTGGAGGTGAATCCTGTGATAGCTCTTAGGTTCGTTGATCAAAGGTAACATGAATTGCTACTGAAGATAAGATAATTGTAATACTTTGTTGTTAATGGGCTATTATGACTTTTCTTGTGACTTCAGTTGCTCACAGAGTGGTTGCATGGGAATGCTTTTTCATGTCTATGGGAACCTTGCAGGAGACTGAGAAAGATCAAACCTGCTCTATCTCACTACATAGCGACAATTCATTGTGAAGCACCCTTGGGAGATCGGGGTGGTTTTACCGATGTATGGGGGACACCGGATTTCATTGTAGGATTGTAGAAGGCGATTCTGTGTCGTTTAGTAAACGGGTATTGAAGAGACCAGAATAGATCTGCTGTCTCAACGCCTTTACAATTGTTATCTCGCCGCGATGGTTTGCTTTGTTTCCAATCTCTCTCTTTTTTTCTGTGTTTAGTATTTATTCAGCGCTTGGTGCCCTCCTTTTATACCGTCCTCACGTGACACTGGCTAAACGAAAGATGACTGTGGATCAAAGGTGATATGCATCCTACTTAAAATAGAATTTGTAACGTCTTGGTTATTGTGTAATGACTTCCGCCTTTTATCGGCGATATCTATGCTCATGTGATCTGTCACTTAGATAGCGTTTTAGTTCCCATAAGAAGGTGTGTGCGTGCGTGTGTGTGGGGGAGGGGGACGAACTTTCGATAGTGTAAGATTGCTGCCACGGCAACCAAAATAAAGCTTCTGACTGCCTGAAAATTTAACTTTATATGATGTTTATTGAATTTTAATAATTTATGAGTAATAAGATAGTTATACACCAACTGTAAACGTTTGGTAACCCATCTAATGGTGGAAATGTCATTCTGTTGATTTTCTCGCGTGGTAGATATCCCTTTAGTAACTTGAAACCACAATATTTATAGTTCCTTATTTGTATGTTAACAATGGTCTACGTATGACGGGAAAATAATCACCACGTTATTGAATCACGGATATCTCAATCGGCGTTATGTATTCTACCTGTCCGGTAAAATCATACTTCTGTCAATATACAATAATTCATACTTCTGTCAATATACAATAATCCATACTTCTGTCAATATACAATAACTCCATACCCCTGTCAATATACAATAACTCATACTTCTGTCAATATACAATAATCCATACTTCTGTCAATATACAATAACTCATACTTCTGTCAATATACAATAACTCCATACCCCTGTCAATATACAATAACTCATACCCCTGTCAATATACAATAACTCCATACCCCTGTCAATATACAATAACTCATACTTCTGTCAATATACAATAATCCATACCCCTGTCAATATACAATAACTCATACTTCTGTCAATATACAATAATCCATACCCCTGTCAATATACAATAATCCATACTTCTGTCAATATACAATAACTCATACTTCTGTCAATATACAATAACTCATACTTCTGTCAATATACAATAACTCATACTTCTGTCAATATACAATAATCCATACTTCTGTCAATATACAATAACTCATACTTCTGTCAATATACAATAATCCATACTTCTGTCAATATACAATAACTCATACTTCTGTCAATATACAATAACTCCATACCCCTGTCAATATACAATAACTCCATACCCCTGTCAATATACAATAATCCATACTTCTGTCAATATACAATAACTCATACTTCTGTCAATATACAATAATCCATACTTCTGTCAATATACAATAATCCATACTTCTGTCAATATACAATAACTCCATACCCCTGTCAATATACAATAACTCATACTTCTGTCAATATACAATAACTCATACTTCTGTCAATATACAATAATTCATACCCCTGTCAATATACAATCATCCATACTTCTGTCAATATACAATTATTTGTTAGCTTTACGAGTGACTGTGAGTGTATACTGTTCTTCGGTGTCGGCGACCAATTCCAAAACTTTTGTGTTTGGAAGGCTTTGTATCCCATTTATGTTTACATACAATAATTAAAGTTTTAGGATCGATATTATAGTAGTTCAATATTTCAATGTTTTTTCTCCGGTGTAAAAAAAAAAGGTTTTAAATTTTTTATCACATTTTATTGCTAGATACAGTTAACTTTACAGTCATTGCTTTCTTCCCCAGACCTTTTTATATGTCACCGATCTAATTAAAATTTTATGTTCAATAAACAACGCTAATATGAACATCAAATTTCCATTAGATTGGTTTTTCACAAAGTGTGCAAGAGAGCATTAAAAATATTATTGAAACAAAGCTCATTACAATAACTGTCGGTGAGTTTGGCAATCATTGATTGCACTTATTGGTGTCCTTGCAGCGGCTTGGTTTCTTTTGGTAAGATAGGAATATATTAATCCTAACAGGCTTTTTATAGTGTGTCATTGTATTGATCATTCAGCGGGCTTACTTGGTTGAGTGGTGGTGGAAAAGTTCCTTTGTTTGTTTGCTTGTTTTTGTTTTTGTTTGTTGCAATGTACCGCCCATTACTCATTGTCCGCCCTTCTAAAAAACTGCAGATATGCTAATTGATTGACGTATTCCGGATATTTAAATTGAGGAGGTATGTGGGGACTTATAATTGTACGTTTTCCTCTCGTTACGGCACATTAACATGGAATAAAAACACATCCCGTCCATACATATGTTCTGTTGTAAGCTGTAAGCACTGAAATAGGAAGGTTCGTGTTGCTACACCATCACCACCAAGTGTACATTTCTGTGTTAAGTTGGTCTAAGGGAAGTAACTCTTGTTTATCTAGGATTTTTTTTTTTCCATGCCTTGCAATTATTTGTTTCGTTATTGTAAAATCCTTCATATAAAATGCCAACTCCGGGAAAGCATTTAGATTTTAAATCTGCAATTCGATCAAATGATGAATATATGTGAATCCACTTACCTAAATTTTACGTTCTAAATACTGATTGGAAATAGAGTTATTTCCCCCTAGACTGTTAACATTATTTCTGAGAGTGTACCCGGATCATCCTCGAAATTCCAAGGGTTACGATCAGGAACGTTCTGATTAGGTTGGTAGTGATCGTAACCCCTGGCATTTTGAAGATGACTCAAGATACGTCCCTTGTATACCTTGCCCCTGAATGTATAAAAACATGGTTAAAAATAGAAGGATTATCAAAGTGTAGCAAACTTCGTATAGTGGTTTATTTAACCCTGGTAATCACTACTGGGTTCAGTGGCTGCAATTATCCACTAAACGACAACTGCTACACTGGTGCCGTGACCAGGATCAAACTCGTGTCACTGACGTGACAATCGATCGGCTCTATCTACTGAGCCTAAGAAGCATGCTCCGTCAGCTGAGTGACAGAGACCGTAATTAACACTATATGCAAGCCACGCCGACCCGGTTTCTTTCACAAAACATACAGCTAAATGATTGTCGAATTCACAACGTAAATGTGTCTGAAGAAAGTACCTAGTAATGATGTAACTCCTGATTTGTTCCATCTGGGATACAAACTTGTAGAATATTTTTATTGTATTAATGTCTGATTTTATTTGTTGGATATTTAAAATGGTTAGCCAGCAGAGACATATATAAAGTGTTATGTGGGTATCTGTATTCCGTAGACGCGGCTCGCTTCCCTTACCAAAGTTGTTAAAAAATAGAAGTATTCCATATCGGTATGTATATACAGAAATCAAATCTAAATATTTTGATTAAAGTGAATTGAAGTAATTATACGAACAAAAATTGTACTGTTTTTGTTATCCGGGGGACTTGGCACGAATTCTCCATCCACAATCTATCGTGTCAAATTCCTGTGTTTGTAATACTAGGGACGTGTAATACAGAGGAACAATTACAACAGTTTGTGACGAGTAATTTCAGTTTATCTGATATCAATTAAACAAAATGCATGTTTAAGCTCTTAAGTAAAATACCACCGCACCAGTGTTGTATAACACTTTCAGACCAAACTATGAAGAAAGCCATCTTTAAATTGATTACAAAAACTGAGTAATTTTCCATTTGACTCATGTCAGTTTTGTGATAAGTCACTTTATAATCTATTTGTGTTATTCTGCAAGGAAAATGAGATTTACTTCTCACTTGCCAAAAAATTATTGTGGCTATACCAGCCTCGGACGAATGATATAGATACATTTAAGTAAATTGGCGCGAAAATTATGCATCTCCCGTAAAGTAATGCTCACTGGACACAGTGTCCATTACTAGATAGCTGTCATATTTCAGTATCTATAGCAGGGTGTATACATGTTGGATTTCATCACGGACGTTTAAGTCATGATTTAATCAATAAAACCCCCCAAGAAACTCTCATTGGACTTGAAGTACTTTATCCATCATCATCTTAATACTGAATCGAACCTAACATCTCTGAAGCTTCATCAACTTTTTTGAAATCTGTTAAAGGAGAACTGTGCTGCCCAAGTAGAAGAAAAATGGTAGCTATATCAAGAGACAGGTGTTTACTTTTCACTGAGTGAGTCTTGTTTCATGCATTACATGTAAACTAGTGTGAAATGCTGTAAACATATATATTATCATGGACTAAGAAATATCTAAGTCTGTGAATGTAAACATAAAAGTTTATTTAGTGGGGCTTGTGTGCAAAAATATCCGGATTTTGAAGCGAAGGTGGTCGCTGGTTATGTACTACTGGACACTGAAACTCTTTAAATGCAGAGCGTTTGTTAATAAGAAGTTTCAAGCGCGTAGGCAACGTTGAATAAAACAAGCATGGCGAGTACCAGCAGTGGTGGATCTTCGCAGTTACAGACTTTCAAAGATTTAGGCTTAAATTCATGGCTCTACAATCAATGTAAAAATATGGGATTAAGTAAGCCCACTCCGATTCAAGTAAATTGTGTTCCGCCAATTCTTAACGGTAAGTATTGGGTAAACAAAATGATACGCACATACACGTAGGTAGTTCTAGTTTCACGTCCAGTGTTTATTGTGGTCTTTCAGATTTTAGAAACCTAGTCTTATATCCTCGTAACTAAGAACAGATGTAGCCACATGAAGACAGCAGTTTCACTTGAAAATAGAACTGCATGCATAAATGACGACATTGATTAAAAATGATGTAAACAAAAACATGAAAGATTGACCGTAGGGGGGTTTGTTAAGATTTGTGCATTACTTTGACTATCGGAAATAGACTCCATGAAAAAAAGTGTCTTGCTAGCTGCGCTGTGTCGATGAATTGCAACCAAATGAATAAGCAATTGAATTGAAATGTGTTCATGCTATAACATTCATTTAAAAACCAGATATCTGATTATGTCAATCACGAATGTTTTTCTAAATAACATCAGCTGAACATCCTCAAACTTGCTCACCTGAAATGACTGACATGTCTATCGGAAATATGGCTGCAGTTCTCGTATCTGATAGCTTACTTCATCTTAAGTTAGCCTACATAGACACAGTATGCACAGATACCCCCAACCACCCAATGAACCATATTTCTTTATGAACTCTTTTTTATGCAACAAACTATTCAGTAAACTTATTTGTTAACATGTCAGTCTACAACTCATACTTGTTCATTCAAATCAGAAAAGTCATCATATGTGATAATTTTAAAATATGCATGTTTGGACTTCCATTGCAAAAATAGGGAAAGGATATGTGGCCTGTTATTCATGGTTAATTTCTGTTCTCTTGATATATAGACAACAACAAACCTCTGTGTTTTTTTCCTTTCTTGAAGGGTAACATATTACAACAACCAAAATCATCTGGTTGTAAGGTCTTACAGGTCAGTAGTTAATGTGATACAGCTTGACGAAATGGCTGTTCCAAAATACATATTGTTCTGGAACCAAAGTTGTGATGAAAATAGACATAATGGATGGCATATATGAATGCATGCATCTCATATATGATATCATTTGTATGGTTAAAATCTCATTAGGCTTAAATAGCGCAGACTCCCGTACATGTCTTACATTTGAGTGACATTTACTGCATTGAAAAATAATTTTGTTATTGAAATGTGAGATAATTTGAAAAAAACGTAAAGTTCATTTGAGTGTTTATAGCAAAAATAGGCATCATATCTGGTTGAACTGGTTATTATCATAATGGCGTACTTGTCAACTTTATATTGTTCTTCAACATACTGAGAATGTCTTTGCCATTTTGGTTTGAAGTTACTGTGATTTTATTATTAATTCTTTCATCACTATGGACTGCTGTATTGCATTTTCGTTGTTATGCTCGCAGACATATATGCAGTAGATAATGAATGAAAATGTAAAATTGTAGAAATGTGAAACAGAATCTTTATAATTTATCTTTATAATTTTCAGTTAATTTGGTATCCATGTAAAACAAGTATACAAAATATGATTTTCAGAGATTAAGATTCAATGTAAAATGTTTGCTGAGTTTTCATGCTATCTTTGATGACTGCAAATACAGTGAAATATAATCCATTACAAATATTATTAACTATACAGTATTTGAAGGCTACAAATTGAACATTTGTGAGTTGTCTCCCTTAGATCACGCCTGCTGTAAACACATGAATGAATGGCATCAGTAACAGAATTAAACATGCAGTCAAATAGTTCATGATATATGGAATAAGAAGTGCATAAACAGTCCATGGTGTAAGGACGAAGAGCCTCCTTGTGTAGATGTTGGGTCATTTAATTTACGATGAAACAATTTGTACTTTTTGATCATTGTCTAAGTTGATTAATAGAGAAGTTATCTTGATGGTGAACAGGTAATGTTCCTTCTTTGAATACTGGGTGTTGGAGCAAGAAAGATATGTCTCCTCATGCAAATCAGATTTCATAGGCAAATGACTTGAGTATTACAGTGAAATCGGGGTTGGATAGAGGGGGGCAGGGAGGTGGGGAGGAAAGGTGTGTACTCTTCTGACAACAGTATGAAGATTTAATGAATTTTACAACCTGCATTTAATTTGAGAGGAATGCTTGATAATGTTTGAATTCCTGGCACTTATTGTCAGACTCTGGTTGTTCAGAGGTTAGTGAGAAATATTCAGTGATAAGTGAAAAATTAAATTGTGTTGCCTCTCAAATATTAAGAGTCTTAATTGGAAAATGGAAACTCAAAATACATCAAGCTGACCTGTCTCAATAAATCTATAGCTTTGAAAAGATGAAGAATGTTCCAAATTTTGTTTCATTCATGTTTCAAAATTGTCACTTTTATCTCAAACCAGTCTTTGGACAACTGGGGCCATGTGGATAGTTGACTGGGTCCCTGGTATGCTGTCATATCAGTTCTGGGTGTTTGTTTGTTTGTTTTTTTTTTAAAAAAAGATTTAAAAAAAAAAGATTAAGTAGAGAGAGAAGAAAGAAAGAAATTGAGAAATATTCTTTTTGGCCCAGATTGAGGGTTCTAACTATTGGGGGAGACCTGAGTACCTATTGAGTACCTTGCGTGATTGGGCAGATGACCCCATGTCTTTTGACATCTAGTCACGTCTGGTCACATCTGGTTAAGGAATCAAGCCCTTGACTAGTGGTCACCAAAGTGAAAAATGAGAGTGTTACCTCTGTGCCACTAAACCACCTACTGGTATATTGTTTTGAATGCATGAAAAGTCAAAACTTCCTTGTAGTTTATAGAATTTTAATTTTAAAAAGTAAGCAACACTGAACCCACTTATTATTACATGCCTTCTTGTCTCACTGGATGATAAATATTGTATTTCATTATTTCTAGGACAAGACTGTATAGGCTGTGCAAAGACTGGGAGTGGAAAAACGGCTGCATTCGCTCTGCCAATACTCCAGAAACTGTCTGAGGATCCATATGGTATATACGCTCTAGTTCTCACTCCAACCAGGTGGGTATAATTTGATAAACTTTACTGGTGAAATTTAATTTTGTGTTGTGATGTAAATATAAGAGAACCTTCAAGTATGTCAGTATAATTTAGAGTTTAACCTGGTACAGTTCTTGGCTTAAATCTTGTCATACTGTAACTGTACATGTTTTAGTGGTAATCTTATTTTAGAGCTTATTGCACTTAATTATAATTGATAATAGCAGCTTCTTTATGTCATTCATATAGCAAATTCTTCATAGTGTTGATTTGCTTATAATTAATGTTGTGAAAACATGGATGATGCAATAGTGAGTACGTTTACAATATACATATACAGGATCCATTTATTGCACAAACACTATTGTCTGATCAATATAGAAATTGTTACTCAGGAAAGGGAGTAATGTTTTAGAGCACATCTCTAACATGTCCCTTTAGAAAATTCAGGTCAGTAGAATTATTGTTGACTGACACTAATGGTAAATGATGTTGTTGATGTGCAGCAGTCATAGATGAATTAACAATTAAAACCCTATGGTAAGTGTTAACTGTGTGTTTGTCGTATTGTTGTAGAGAGCTGGCATTCCAGATTGCTGAGCAGTTTAAAGTCTTGGGAAAACCAATCGGGATCCGTGTATCAGTCATTACAGGCGGGTTAGGTAAGCAGATTAAGCAAAACATGCTGTTAAATGTCAACTTACTCACTTAGATAGGAATGTATGGATTTGTCAGTGTGTCCATTTTTGCATCTTGGCATAGCAATAACACTTTCACACAAAATGTCTCTAGATACAATCCTTTAACAGATCTAGTGAAGTTTTTCACCAGTTCTGGAACATCAAATTTTACCCCTGATTAGATTTTGGTGGTCATTGGTCAAGGTTAAAGGGTCAAAGGTTTCACTCTACAATTTTTTTTTTTAATTCTTAAGGAGTTACGTGTAATTACATAAATTTATACTAATGTAGGGTAAGGATGGAGCAACTTGAACTCTAACCCTTGAACTCTAACCCTTGAACTCTAACCCTTGAACTCTAACCCTTGACCTCTAAACCACTCCCTAACAAGCTCATACGACTGTAGCTACTGTCTTCACTGTGATTATTAGCTTTACTGCTGTAAGATACAGTAAATCTTGAGTCAGTTCGAATGGGCGGGCAGTTCAAACACATGATTTTTTCAATAAAAAACAGTAATTTTCTGTTTAGTGGTAATTCCAAACCCTTCTGAGTCTTGTTTCACTTCAATTTAAATTGCTTGGACGTTTATTGAGATGACACATTTAAGTATTGATAAAGGCATTGGTGTCATAATAATCACTCCATATGGTCACTGTTCACATCAACATTAAACATTGTGGGTAGCAGACTGTTATTAGCAACTGATTGTGTCAAATTATACACCTAAATGACACTTTTGTATCGATTCAGTGTTATTTCTTTTACAACATGCTGTAAGATCATTCACACTCTAGCTGACAAAACTTGAGGCCACAACTCTGTATTACAAGTGATTAGTACATTATATATGGACCACGCAGTGTTGATATGTGTTTTGTCAAAGAACAACATTGTTTCACTTCATATTTTGATAAGAGAATCATATCAAGACTATCGTAATAATTGTAAGATTAATAAGATTTTAACAAATAATTAATCCACAATCATATTAAGTTTCAATCTATACTCAGCATGCCCATATGTCAACGCTAACTTCGGCCAATACACAAGCAGAAGTGTGCTTTTTACAGGCAGGTTTCTTCATCACAAAATCAAACGTGATAAAGAATGAGATAAAACCTCTGATTACTTAACAGTCAATTAACATGTATTGCAGTATAGTAAGTGTTTAACAGTCAATTAACATGTATTGCAGTATAGTAAGTGTTTAAAAAGATGATGATTTTATAATTGGCATTTTTTCTTTTCCCCCCAGAAAATGCCATTACAGGCAGGTATATTCCTGGCTTACTAGGACTCTTTAAGTCACTTTGTCACGATTCAGGGCAATGTCCACCGTAATACTTTGAAATAGGATTCATTATCACAAACATAGTTTTGTATAATTTGAACAGGTTCAACTATATTTACTTACCTGGTACTTTCCTTTCGAACTGACTGAAGGTTTAACAGATACATATATGTAAGTTTCTGGTGAAATAGGAAATGTTAATTGATATATTTCTGTCTGAACTCTTACAATGAATTACAATCTGATAATCAGTGTCAGCATAGAGTGATAGTGAGGAAAATCCCAGAAATATTAAGGTTGAACTTTCATGAGTCTTCGACTTGTTTTGCAGTCCTTTACTTGGCTTACCATAGTGCTAGACTCCTTGACTCCTGAACTTTACCTTTTGCTGTCCTTGACTAAACCTAATGTTGTCTTTGACTTGACCTTTTTTATCTTCTCAACAGATATGATGCAGCAGGGACTAGATTTGGCAGTGAAACCTCACATTGTCATCTCCACCCCTGGTCGGCTGTCAGACCACATACAGAGCTGTGACACTTTCAGCCTGAAAAAAATTAAATTCTTGGTAGGTCTTCATTCTTCTTACCGCCAGCTTTACAAGTGCATCACAATTTATTTCTAATTTTACTTCCTTTTGTTTTTGATTGGGATTTTGATATATTTGTGAATGTGGAATGATTTTATACTACTAAACAAATTTCATAGAAAATTACATGACTTGTTCAGCTGCTGTCAAATTCCAAATATTGTATCCATATTTAAGACATTGCATGGTATATATTGTATAGAAATGTGTGTTTAATGATATCAGTATGTCTTCATATGTGAAACGCTACTTTGAAGGTTCTTGATGAAGCAGACAGACTGATAGAAGATGACTTTGGGGAACAACTTGAAGCCATATTTAAAGTGATACCTAAGAAACGACAGACACTTTTGTTCAGTGCTACCATGACGAAAACTCTGGAGAGTCTTCAGGAAATCGGCATGAACAAACCATTCTTCTGGCAGCAAAAATCTGAGTAAGTCATCACCAGCAGCAGTACAATTCAGTATTGATATGTATTCATGTCTGGCAAATTAGTTGATATGCATTTATACCTGGCACATATTTGATATGTGTTGATGCCTGACACATTAGTTGATATGTGTTTATGCCTGGCACATTAGTTGATATGTGTTTATGCCTGGCTCATTCATTGATATGTGTTTTTGCCTGGCACATTAGTTGATATGTGTTTATGCCTGGCTCATTCATTGATATGTGTTTATGCTGGTCTAATATTTGATAGTTGTTTATGCCTGGCACATTAGTTGATATGTTTATGCCTGGCTCATTAGTTGATATGTATTCCTGCCTGGCTAATATTTGATATGTGTTTATGCCTGGCACATTTATTGATATGTGTTTATGCCTGGCACATTTATTGATGTGTTATGCCTGGCTAATATTTGATATGTGTTTATGCCTGGCACATCAGTTGATATATTTATGCCTGGCTCATTAGTTGATATGTGTTTATGCCTGGCACATTAGTTGATATGTGTTTATGCCTGGCTAATATTTGATATGTATTCCTGCCTGGCTAATATTTGATATGTGTTTATGCCTGGCACATTAGTTGATATGTGTTTATGCCTGGCACATTAGTTGATATGTGTTCATGCCTGGCTAATATTTGATATGTGTTTATGCCTGGCTCATTAGTTGATATGTATTCCTGCCTGGCTAATATTTGATATGTGTTTATGCCTGGCACATTTATTGATATGTGTTTATGCCTGGCACATTTATTGATGTGTTATGCCTGGCTAATATTTGATATGTGTTTATGCCTGGCACATCAGTTGATATATTTATGCCTGGCTCATTAGTTGATATGTGTTTATGCCTGGCACATTAGTTGATATGTGTTTATGCCTGGCTAATATTTGATATGTATTCCTGCCTGGCTAATATTTGATATGTGTTTATGCCTTGTACATTAGTTGATGTGTATTTATGCCTGGCACATTAGTTGATATGTGTTCATGCCTGGCTAATATTTGATATGTATTCCTGCCTGGCTAATATTTGATATGTGTTTATGCCTGGCACATTTATTGATATGTGTTTATGCCTGGCACATTTATTGATGTGTTATGCCTGGCTAATATTTGATATGTGTTTATGCCTGGCACATCAGTTGATATATTTATGCCTGGCTCATTAGTTGATATGTGTTTATGCCTGGCACATTAGTTGATATGTGTTTATGCCTGGCTAATATTTGATATGTATTCCTGCCTGGCTAATATTTGATATGTGTTTATGCCTGGCACATTAGTTGATATGTTTATGCCTAGCTCATTAGTTGATATGTGTTTTTGCCTGGCACATTAGTTGATATGTGTTCATGCCTGGCTAATATTTGATATGTATTCCTGCCTGGCTAATATTTGATATGTGTTTATGCCTGGCACATTTATTGATATGTGTTTATGCCTGGCACATTTATTGATGTGTTATGCCTGGCTAATATTTGATATGTGTTTTTGCCTGGCACATTCGTTGATATGTGTTTATGCCTGGCACATTAGTTGATATGTGTTTATGCCTGGCACATTAGTTGATATGTGTTTATGCCTGGCACATTAGTTGATATGTGAATTGTTGTTTGTTTTTCTGATTGTTACCAAGGTTTTACTGAAAATTCATGGCAAGAGAACATATTTTTTATGTAAGAAAGGAAACAAACAATTGTTTTCATTATCAAAGTTATTATCACGTTATATATTATCAGTGATTTTAATTCATCTTAAATAAGGAAAAATGAAACCCTTTGAAAAAAATTACCTCTACATTAGACCTATATAGATTGATGTGAAAATGACTGAAATCATGATAATATGCTGAATGTACATACCCATGGATGAAGCCCAGCAAAACTTGAGAGAGAGTGAAGGTCATAGGGGTCAAATTTATAAAAACACTCCCAACAACTTTTTCTGATTAACTGAAAGGCCATTAATATTTGCCTGGTAGAGCCTTAGGATGACAATTGAGCACGTAATGTTTGTGATAAAAAAGGACTTTTACCTAAATAGAAGATCATATGGATCAAATTTGTTGAAACATTCTAACCAATTCTTACTTTTAACCGAAAACTTTTAAAATGAAAATGTTTTGCTATTGGTGTTATGGGATGAAGCCCAACATCTTGTGAAGAGAGATGTGAGGCTGGCAGTGCTCTGGAGTGAAGCCCAGCATAAGTTGCAAAGGTATGAGCTTAACCCATATTCCAATCCACAGTTGTCAAGTAGGCTGAACACTCAAAAAACTTCTTCATATTAACCAAAAAGCCTAGAATCATCTTGTTTTGTACACTGGCGGAAGTCCAACAATCATTGAAAAAAAAAATACTGCATATTTTAGGTCATTAGGACCAAATTTGTTTAAACACTAAATTTCATCTGAATTATATGACTAATAGCTTCCTGGAACCTGACAAAGTTTTAAAAAGAAATGGTATTAGTAATCTCATTGAGATATATTCTATTTCTTCGTGCGACGTGAAGCTGGATGTATTTTATGTTTGTTAGTTTTCCTGTTGGTTCCATTATTGCATACCTTGTTCTCAATTGAGAATGTGACATTACTTACTTGGACTGACCAAGGACTTAACATGGGCGGTGTCATGGATTAAGCAGAAGCCGCTCACTTTTCCAAAACACCTGGTCTTACTCTCCTTGTACTTTTTCAGGAATCTCTGTGTAAATCTTTCTTTCGTTCATATTTTGCCCTGGTTTTTTGGAATTTGAGCTTGAATTATGATTATGTTGCCATGTTGGTATTTTCTTGATGTTTATTGAGATCCATGTTCACAGCCGAAGAGGTCAAAGTTCTTATAACACTCCATAAACTCCTATGAATTATAGAAATTGTGACTTTTAGCTTGTAAATATCAGTTCCAAACAGATACGCTTGATAAATTAAATCAGTTTGAGTTGCCCAAAAGGATCCATTAGTCATAGGTGAATAATGTTCGGCCTTGAGTGTGAAAATGGTACTTTTTATGTTGATTTGAATCAGTTTGATTCAGGCTCTTTATGTTAATGATGTTCTGTGAAGTATATGTATTATGAAAAGTATTGATTATCAGTTAAGCAATGCAAGCCCATATCCGACCTTGTATTACTGTAGAGTTCAGTTTAAAGAGATAAAGTTTGGCTGTGTTAGTAACATGTATAAACTGATAGGAATTGATATGTTTTGCATGTAGTTGTCCATAACACTCTACATCCTCTAGGAATCCATTGAGAAATATAACCTGTGTATACAGTTATAGACTGTCTTTGTGTGATATTTGAGATTTATAGTGGAGTGACTTAAATGGTATTACAACATCAATGAAAGCCCTGAATAAATATTGATTATGTTTCAGAAAGTCCCCGTGTACTTCTGACTTTAGGTTTTGTTGAACATAGCCTATTTGTTATAAATAACTACTGTTACCATAGCCTTTGATTGAAACAGTCCTACTTTTGTTTGCCATTATATACACTTAACACTTAAGTCTCCCTGAGCCAGGAGGCACACAAGGATTGGACATCCCTTCTCCACTGTTTTCGATCTTCGGCAGCACGACGTGCAGAGTTCCAGGTACTCCAGCCAGCACCATTCCACTCTACCTCCACCATTCTTCGCCAAGTTGTTTTTGGGCGTCCTCTTTTCCTTTTTCCCTCTGGTGTCCAGCCGAGGGCCACAGCACAGTCATTCCGTTGATCCTTACTCAGGATGTGTCCAATCCAGCTCCATCTCCTTCTCACCTCCTGGCTTATCTTCACTGTCCATGCCATCTCCAGAACTGTCTTATTTGATGATATACTGTCCTTCTTATCTCGAAGAATAACCAACTAACAAACAAGTTTTCTTTGTTTTTCTTCAGATTTTTATCTTTTTCAGAATTTCTAAATGAGGCGTTTTTAATGTTGGATGTGATTTTGTTTTTGAGTACATTTGTACAGTCTTGTATCTAATTAATATATTTTGATCTCCTTAAGCAAATGCACATGACACTCTATCACTCATTAAATGTAAGGTATGTTAGAAAATGGTGACTGTTCACTTATTGCTTCTAAGGATGTTTACTTTTACGAGTATAAAAATATACATGGCGTAAAATGACCAGCTCAAGAAGGCTGATATACCTTGCAGATTATCTTGTTCTTTTTTTTTACAATTTCCCCCCTATTATTCCTTTCCAAGAAACCATTTTTATTTTATGTATAATCATGGCTTAGTAAAGTGTTACGATACTACATTGACGTTTGTGTGGTCAGTCATGTGCAATGACAGAGTAAAGATTTAGGATTTATAGTGTGAATTCATTGATATCTGGTAATATACTGGTATCTATTCACAATAAAAAATATATAAATCTATTCCAAACAATAATTAAGAAAAAAAAGGGTGCTCTCTTCATTTCGTTATAGACAGATATTTGAATGCTGAAAAAATGTCAAAACTTGACTGAATGCAGCTATTTAGGGAAAAAATTTTATGTCTGTTTAACCAATTCTTGTGAAGTAAAAGAAGTCTTTTTACAAGGAAATGTGACGATGAACATTTAGAGATAGAAAAAAGAAACTGTGCTGAGACAATTAAGAGAAAGATATGTGTTGGCAGTGGTCTTTACTTCGAAAACTGTAATTTGATATATATAAACATATTTCCTTTTCTAAACAATGAATTTCACTTCAAAAAATAAATAAAGATGGGTTAAATGAGCCTTATTTAAGGAAAGTACATTTCCTTTTTTGATACATTTTATTTCGGGAATCTCAAAAGTAGTTTTATGTAAACATCACAGTGCAGATTTTATTATAAAAGTACAGACAGAACAGGCACAAAAGGCAGTTAATACTGTGAAATTCACACATGAACATCAATAAGTTTTATTTTTGTTGAATGTGTTATTTTATTTTTACGTCGTCCAACTGAAGAATATGAAAATAACAATAGAAATCCCCACCAGATATGTCGACTTTTCACCACTAATAATAGCGAGGTATTTGAAATTAGAAGTTTCCCAAGCACAAACATACAGTTTAATTGAATTGTAACACAACAAAAGATGAAACTGTGTAGTAGTGGGATCAAAGAATGAGGGACGGGCATGACTGTATTTGTGATGTGTACATTGTACCTGAGGTGTTGATTGTGTTGATTATAAACAGCACACCTGAGGTACCCAGCTAGGTATATCCTATTTATTGGCTCCTAAATTTTAATCAGTCTATGTCCCATGGATTTCTGGTGTACTTGCTGAGGATGATTATGTTAATTGTGTATAGTCGACCACCTGTGACATAAAAAATATAATTAGATGGGAGATTTAAACAGCAAATTTTGGATATATTCAAGTTTGGGATATGATATAAACTTATTTTGTATATATAATAATATGTATCTTCGGCTGGATATCTATAGTGTCCTAACCTGTTGATTGGAAGTGCACAGGCACAGCTGTCGATGACTGTGTAAAAACTAGTGTGTATCAGTTTTTACACCTGTGAGATTAAGAATATTTACATATACCGGTACTCCACTTTCCTGCTGAAAGGTTACAGCTTTGTGTGCCTCAGTCGATAACATGTGTAAAAGCTTTGTTGTACCTATAATTTTGAGAAATAAGACTCAATTTGACAATAAACATTAGCATATATTGTGTACCAGACTATAAAAATAAACTGTGTACCTGCTGGTTTAGGGTATAAAACTATACGGTGTTCCTGACCGTTGTGTGTATAAGCGGTACGGTGGTATTTCAGGCCTTTGAGGATACAAAACAATGTGCTTACTTTATTTGATTATGAAGAGATGGACAGAGTGGGATGAAACTCCTCTTTTACCATTACAGAACACTATTGGTAGAAGGGCTGGAACAGCACTACTGTCTGATGGCTGCCGACGTCAAGGATGCCCATCTAATGCACATTCTAGACAAATTCACAGAGGAAAGGCCGAAGAGCTCCATCATGATATTCACCAACACTTGCAAGTATGTCTTGTATTTCAGTGTGTGGTATTTATATAACATGTATCCAGCATTTGAGTTATTTTCTTGAATACTTTTCATACAACAGAGATTGTGTCTCTAGCATAAATTTGCCTGCATTTACAGTAGGATAAGCGATGTATACATCAGTTATACAAAAGCAACATTTTTCTGTCTGTGACAAACTGATAATAATTAAAACACATCAAAGAGGAAGAATGATTGACTAGTTTGATGAAGCATTTAAATACCCTGTTTGGATATTCTTGTTCCTGTGTTTGTAATTTGATGGATGTGTTTATAGGTACACACAGATTCTAGGAATGATCTGCACCAGTCTGGGCCTCAATTGTGTGATCCTACATGCCATGTGCAAACAGAAGGAACGGCTGGCCGCCTTAGCAAAGTTCAAGTCTAACCAAGTTAATATACTCATTGCTACTGATGTGGCTAGCAGGTAGGTCAGGTTTTAGTAAATGTCTAACTGGGTTCAAGTTAAAGTCTAACTTTGTTTTACTTAAAGGCTAGATGGCTTATGTTAAGATTTAATTTGGTTTATCTTAAAGTCTGTTTAAGTTTAAAGTGTCTAATGAGGACAAAATTTTCATTGCCAGTGCTGTAGTAATAAGTATATCAAAGATGAAGTTCCACTTAGTTGAAATTTCAGTTAAACAAAGTGTTAACATACAGATTAATTTAGGATGAGGAGCTAAGTTAGAATTAGGTATAACATCCAGATTAGTCAGAATTAAGAAGAGATACTCAGGTTGGTTAAAGTTTGACTGGGTCGGAATCACTAGTATCCTGATTGCTTTTGTTTGGGAAGCAATTAGAGTTGACGTCAATATCCTCTTGTCCATTTCTATTCATAGTTGTTCTGATGTCATGAGCAGGGAGGTCAGTATTTGTAATTATTATACCAGTCTGTATTTTGTTACTTAAGACCTAATTATGTCCCCCAAAGGAAGTGGAGGGACATATTGTGTTTGCTCCTTTTCTTCTTATTATTATTATTTTTATTATTCTTATTTCTTCCTCTTTCTTCCGCCAGCGAGGTTTCCGACGCGTTTCTCAAAAACTATTGCATGGAATTTAACAAAACTTTATACACATATTCATACATGCAAGGCGGAGTTCAGGCCACTTGAATTTTTCCAATCGGTCATCTGAGCCGTCAGCTGTGGTCAAAATTTGGCCAAATTTTAGATATTGTCTGATTTTCGTGAAAATTGGCATATAAGTATTAGGTGGCACTATAGGATCAAAATGGTGTTGTCCATGTTTGGCATGACTGCAGGTCTGATTATTGTGATCATTTACTGCTGAAGGGGTCCTTTGGGGGACATTTGTAATGGTCCCCATTACAATTAGTACTTGTTTTGAACGTAGTTCACTGGAATAATTAATACACATGAACCACTGCTTATTGTTTTGAATATATCACTATTTTTATTGACTTTTCGCAGAGCATCATACATTCTTCAGTAGATATGATCGTGTTTTATATAATTTTTCCTTCTTTGCTTGTAGAGGATTGGACATTCCCACAGTAGATCTCATCATCAACCATAATGTGCCGTCACGACCCAAAGACTATGTACATCGAGTGGGTCGTACCGCTAGGGCAGGTAAATGGTTAACAAATTGATATTGTGTACTAATCTAATAGAGCTGTTATCATAACAGGAGATTTTTCCTATTTTTTGTTTTTGTAAAATGTGTTTATAACAGGAATCTCTTGTCTGTCTAAATGGAAGTCACTCGTCAGTCATAATTTTAAACGAATAATCTCTTGTGTGTCAGAGTTTTAACCGGGGAATCTCCTGTCAGAATTTTCAATTGAAACCCTTAGTCTGTGAGAGTTTTAACCAGAGTTCTTGCTTTGGTATCTCTTGTGTGTTGGAGGTAAAACAGAGGAACAAGTGTGTCTGATTTACCTAAAGAATATCTTGTGTGTCTGTTTTAATTAAGGAATATCTGGGTGCGTCAGAGAATGATTGTGTGTGAGAGCATTAAATGATGAATGTCTGGTGTGTCAAATGTCCTAACTGAGGAAAATCTGGTGCATGAGAATCTTTGGAATATCTGGTGTGTGAGAATTTTAAGTGAGAAATATCCGTGGATAAGAATTAGAACTGAGAAATATCAGCTGGGATGGAGAATTACAAATAAGGAATGTCTGTTGGACGTGTCAGAGTTTTAACTAGGAATCTTTTGTGTGTCACAGCTAATATGAATCATATCTTTGTATGTACACAAACAATCTATAAATAATATCTGTTCTTGTTTCCCTTGGATCTCTTTGTATATTCTGATTTATCTGTTTCTGAAGGTCGAGGTGGCAAATCCATTACATTGGTGACACAGTTTGACATTAAATTGGTCCATGCCATCGAAGAATTTACAAGTAGGTACAAATTTTTCTTGTAGACATCACAGTTGTACTTTGAGGTATCAGTCAAATTGTATAAAGTATATCTTTGAGCCAAATGCGAGTATAAAAACAATTAACACAGATTTACCTTCATTGTGATTATTAGTAGATGACTGGTTATGGCTATAGATAGTAATATTACAACTTTAATATGGCAATAATCCCATGCCTGTTTAAATGTCCACCTATCTATTGCTATTTATACTACTACAATAACAGAGGTTATTATCTATTCCAACCCCTCTGCTTGGATTCAAATTGGAGACTTGAGTCTTACACTTAACCAATCCAGCTAAAGAGTAGATCTTTCTAAGCAGTTTATTGTGGCTAGTATTTTAGCATGATAACATACTCCCCCTCCAGGAAAGAATTCATCCTCAAGTTTCCAGTCATTACAACCATGGTTATGGGTTATGGTCAATATTTATTTCTTATTTACTTACATGGATGTTAATACAACAGAGGTGATTATTTTTTTCAATGCCTCTGCTAGGATCTGAACTTGGGACCTTTTATTTTCTAGGCTTAGACTCAATGGCTCCAGTTAAAGAGAAGATCTCTCTATCTGAGCAGTATATTGGGGCCAACTAATATTTCATTATCCTGTATTAAAACCTGAACCCTGACTTTTAGTTCAGGAGAATGTATTGGCCCCATGGTTCTAGTGTAGATTAAACATGATTATTGATATTTATTTATGGACATAGAAAAGAAGATGACAGAGTACAAGGTAGAAGAGAAAGAGGCTTTAAATATTCTGGTAGAAGTGGCTACAGCCCGCCGGGAGGCTGAGATCGTAAGTACACCTGCACCAATAATTAATCCATTACGAGGACTTTTTCTGAGTTTGTAGTTTTTTAAAAAAAAATCTGCCTTTTCAGAATGCAGAGTTATCTGCTCTTATGAGCAGTATTGATTATGTCAAATTTGTGAGAAAAAGACGTAATTTCCAGCAGAGACTAATGACATACATATCAATACTTGCTCATAAGAGCAGATAACTCTACATTGGGAAAAGAGAGAATATCTCTGAATTGATGTTACAGCTGTAAGGTAAAATATAGATACATGCATTTAATAAAGTTAACTTCATAATAAAATCAACTGAATGATTAACTTACCAATGTGATCAATGTCCTGGTCTCCTGTCATTGACAATGGTACAATTTTATTTTTTATTGTATGTTAGTAGAATCTCCAGATATTAAGATGCTAATAAATCATCAAAATAAGAATATGAAAATATAATCAAAACCAGAGAGAAAAATCATTTTTAACTGATTATTTGATGATATTGGTCATCAGTTTGGTTTCTTGGTTTTTTTATAGAAATTAGATGAAAGAGACTTTGGAGAAAGAGATACAATTAACAAGAGAAAGAGGATGATTTTAGAGGGAAAAGTAAGTATGTAATAATAGATAACTGATACTAATCAGGTGTCAATCCAGAGCCATTTTTATTTTGTAGATTTTTCTGTTGAGTTTTTAACCACTAGAAATTTTAAAGGATAACCAATCTGTACTTTAATGGTGAAAACAATTTTTTTTCTATTATTATTACAGGATCCAGATGACGAAGAGGAAAAGAAACAGAAATATCTGAAACAAAAAAAGAAATCATGGAAGAAACAGAGAACGAAGACGAAGACATGATTTCTCTTGTTAATTTTTGTTATTTACCGTACTTAATTGTCGCTATTGTCCAGGAATTGTACTCCACATCACAGATAAAGGAACACCACAAACAACCTAATCAACTTAGATTATTGTATTGAGAATATCTCTAATCAATGTTAAATTAAATGTTCTATTTGTCTGTTTGAAACAGATTTACACAATTTTGTTTGGGGATGTTGACATGATGTATTATATGGTACATGCACCACACTATGTGTCGAGAACATACATTTCAGATAGGGACTGAAAATGTATTGCAATTTCATTGGTCAGTTCTTCCATATTTTTATTTTTGACAATATTCGTATCTGTAAATGTGTCAAAACTTCAATTATTGCAATTATAAAAAATGAAATTGAAATGGTTTTACAAAATCTTTCCATAAATTTGGTGATATGTTGGTTTAGGTTAACACCATAGTGTTGAATTTGTGTCAATTGGGCAATAGAAAGGTTTTCCAGTTTACCAAAATGTTTTGGTTAATTAACTTACCTCTCAGTGACAATTCAATTGGCTACCTTGTCCACACCGATGTTCACATAGGAGATTAAGCCTATATTTTTGATGCGTAAATGTCTACAAGATAGAATTAGTAAAACCATGTATTTGATGGTGTTTTCTCATAGGTACAAATTCATTTTCCTATGGTTTCAATACTTTATATCTAACCTAACATTAAACCTATAGAGAAGTAGATCAGGACAGTACTTGTACTTAAGGTTGATAAAAACTGTTCCAGAATGAAAGTTTTAAGAACGATTGATGGATATTTTACCGAGATCATATCTCACTGGGTGTGTAGGATCGAGATGAATGGATTATCTCCCCTGAAACACCAGTAATTTTCTAGATAATGTATTCTAGATAAAACCATGTATGTTGGACCACTTTGCTTTTATAACAAAGTCCCCTTCCAACTCCACACACTTGTTCCATCTAGTTTGCCAGTCACTGATACATGTACCACTTAACTTTCTGGGCCTGAAGGTGTTTTTGGTTGAAGTCTGGGGAAGAGTTGGAAGCTGCTGGGAGCTAGGTCTGGAGAAAAGGATGATGAGGAAGGAGGACGACGTGCATTGCTATACCCATCACAACTTGGCTGATGTAGACTAGTGTTGTTCTGGTGAAGCAGAACTCCTTGACCGATTTTTCCTGTTTTTTTCTTCTGGATTGATTTACATACCTGTATCAGTATGTTAATGTAAAACATTTTAATGTTAATTTCCAGTTCCACAGGACTGGTAGTCGTTGTGAATGGCTTCTTCACTGTCCTAATAATTAGTCGCAATTTCCATGATGGGCCTTATTGTTTTGAACCTCTTCGTATTCAGAGATGTGGCATGTTTTAATTCCATCGATTGTAAAGCCAGTTTATCACAGGTTAGACCCCTAAAATGAAAATCATCTAAACTGGCATTGCACAGAGTGAGCAAGATTCCACTTACTAATGGTGACTATCAATTGTTTCATGTCAACTGAAAGCATTCTTGGGACTTAACCTTGTACATACCATGGACATGTATTTTCTGCCATATGTTTGTCATAGGAATCTATTGTTCCTGCTAATTAAAAGAGAATGTGGCTGTGTTACAATGTAACATATATTTTGTGTCATTCTCTATTACGTGCAATAAACGTGAACTAGGATATATTAAACGTGCTGTGTGTTTTACTTCATGATCTGTAGACACATTTGACTAACTGGCCTGAAGTACGATGTGAGATTACAGCATACTGCAGCATCCATCATTAGTCCATCATCTTTACATCTGTACATCAACTGTTTTCTTAAGAATTTTCAGATTTTGACAAAATCTGGTCAGAAGCATCTGTGGAGGAAAAGAAACAATTATTTTATAAATGTTGGAGCTAGGACCTTAGGGGCTTGAAGGGCCCAAAATGGGAAATTTTGAAAACCTACTCTTCCCTAGGTATGGTCAAATTTTTGCCCAAATTTGGTCTAAAGCTTGCCAAGGTGAAGAAAATCAACAGTGGAAATAGAACAAATTCTTTAAAATCCTACTTCTCCCATAGCAATTGTTAGGGATTGCCCAAATTTTGTCTGAAGCATTCTTAGGAGAAGGGGAATCAATTTGGTTTGGGGGTATGGGGCAGTGCCTAATAGGTGAGAGAGGAATTTCTTTACAATCTTACTCCTGTAAGAATGATTGGATTTTGTCCAAATTAGGTCTAAAGCGTTCCAAGTTTAAAGGGAATCAATTTTGTGTAAATGTTGGGTCTTTGCACAATGGGCAGGAGGGACAGGACCCAATCAGGGAAATAGAACAAATTCTTTTAAATCCTACTCTTCTTGTAAGAATGAATGGATATTGTCCAAATTTTGTCTGAATTATTCCTAAGTGAAGGGGAATCAATTTTGTATAGCCCTTGGGACCCTGGGGCCAGAAGGACAGAGGAAAAATAGGATATAGAACAAATTCTTTGAAATCCTTGTCCTCCTGTAGAAATGATTTGATTGTATCCAAATTTGGCCTGAAGCATTGTTGGGTGAATGAGAATCAAATTTTTATAAATGGTGGTTCTCAGCCATCTAGGAAATAGACCAAATTCTCTAAAATCCAACTCCACTTGTAGGAATGACTATGACCAAATTTGTTCTGAAACATTCTTTGGTGAAGGGGAATCAGTTTTGCCAAGTGAGATATAAGCCCTATGTGCCTCTTGTGTATTATAACAACAATTGACACCTGAAATGTTATTTCCACAGATCGAATGCATTAAAAACTTTTATCTTTCATCAGGTCATAAGTTATTTGATTCAAGTTTTAGTCCACTATCATCAGATGATTTGCTATTCGAATTGTCATATGTCCTGGTCCATCGTCCATCCATCGGTCCTTAGCTGTGCCCTTTCGAGTTTAGGACTGATCAGAAAAACAATAGGTTGTCTGGCTGCTATCTTGGATTTTGTCTGTGGGAGTTTATTATAACTATTCCTACTTTTCAAGAACAAAGATCAAAAGATGGTGAATGGCAAAATCCCTCTGATGTCTCTTGATGTAAAATCTTTTTAATTTTTTTTTTCTGTTTATATTAGACGAGAGACGAAAGATAAAGGTTTAAAAACGAAAACGAATGTTGCAACACCGTCTTCAAAAATATGACAGATTATCAAATATGTATTTCAGAATAATTTGGAGTTGGTGATTAGCTGGTTGTTTCTGCGTCGGGATTCGTGTTTTGATGAAATTAATATCCCGCTTGTCATTTTTGTGATAAGTTTATTTACTGGTCTGGTTTCCTCACACAAAAGCTGTTTGCATTATTCAACAAAGTCTGACTGAAATAAGATTCTATAGTTTCTATACAGTAATGTGAGAACTAAGTTGTACCCAAAATGACAAAGACCAGGTGCCGGATGGTACGGTGAGGGAAACCGGAGATTCCATCTCGTACTTGACATATCCTGTCCGACGTAAAAGGTTTCTGATGCTCGATAGGACAGAAAAATAAGACAACACCCCAGAAAGGTGAGAAGCAGAAAACATACTTTGTTAAAGTATGTGCATTTATTAAACTCAAAATATAACAAAACGGTGTAATATAGTGGATAGGAGGGATGGGTGAGAGACAGGAACAAAGGGTATTTTAACCATTTTGAATAAGTCCTTGAAATATATTTCCAGTTGTTTAATTTTCGTAATCAAAAGAACAAAGTACCGCCAAATTTTGTCATTACATGATGTCTACATGTAATTCCCAAGAGAAAAGTAGAGGTTAAATCAAACCTAGAACAAATAGAGATCTTTCAATGGTTGACCGAAAATCCGATCTGAGACAGGTGTACATGCCGCCGACATAATGGTGCAAGAATATGAATACTTCAGACTTTTATCTGTGTCTGCAATTGATCCAGAGGGTTGAGGAGAACAAGAGCATCGTGACCAGGATGTCGGCATTCCTATCACTTGTAAGCGGTGTGTCCATCTAAAGAAATACTGGCGATTGAGAACTCTTGTACACAATTTATGTGTGGTTTCAATTTTCGTAGCACTGTGTTACGAAATCACAAGAGAACTACTATGTAGAAGACATCCAATTAATGGGTTGTTTAGTGTGAAGCGTACTAGCACTGACGTAGTGTAGGAGATTGTAAAAAATGGTAGATTCTTACCAACTCTCGTCGGTAAATTGGTGCTGTAGATCTGAAGGGTAAATGTCCGTAAACGACATCAGATAAAAAAAACGTCTACCTGTGACGTTTGAGTACCAATTAAACATGATAATTGTGCATAATTAACACTTGATATACTAAGTTACAATAGTTGGTTCATTTACAACCATATACGTAACAAAAAAAACAGACCCGTTCTGTATTACAAACTAGGGCAACAGGCGTAACACTCGTGTTGATATTACTGATGATAAAAAAGTGACATACTGGCTTATAACGTCTTATGTTCTTGGTGCTGCTGTAATTTGCAAAATCATATTTACCGTTTTGTATAATAGTTGTGTATATATGCTGGAATAGTTTCGGATGTTTAACAGCAAATTACTTTGGGACAGAACTTCTGTAGAAGAGGCACGGAGCTTTACTGTTGTCTGTGAGATCAGTGAATCAAGACTCATTCTGAGCTCCAAGAGTTGCTTCCCTAAGCTTGACTCTATCAGATGATATAACGATTAACGACAGAGTCCGAGATTAAGAAGACTGACCAGACAACTTTTAAGTTTTTTTCTTCGTAAAGACACGGGAATGCATCTTCACGTCAACTTCAGAAACAATGACCGGACAATATGTAAAGGTGTGTCAGATGGGTGAAGCCATATAGAAGCTGTAGTTAAGTCGGGGATTACAATTGTCCTGTAAAATGTTAAAAGTTTTGAGTGATGCTATGATTGTCCGAGATCTATATTTTTCCAACTGAGGGTGTCAGAAGGTTTGATCCACTCCTGATTAGTAGTACAGTACTGCGGTTCCTGGCAGTTTTGATATTGTTTTTGGCATTTCTCGTTTGCAGTACTACTAATTTATTAATATATTTTCCTTTAATAATTGCACAGTTGTTTCTTTTTTGGGTAGACCACATGGTTTACATGCTGGATAAGGAAACAATTAGTTTAAATAAATGTAATGGTTATTGACACAAATATATTTTACAAATGTGGGACACATTTTCCCCAAGAGAGGGGAAGTAACCCAGGTGTCCCTACAGTGTCTAATATGCATATGTACTCTGTATGTGATGTTAAAGTGCATGTGTAGCATGTTTACGTGACTGTACATGTCCTCTGGAAGGTGTGGTAGGTAGCCGAACCAGCCAGACGTGATATGCACACCAACCTGAACGAAACTCATCACTGCACTCGCATTGTATGCTTATTGCGTTTTCACATCTGTCTGGTTTCCTATCTGTCCCTATCAATCTCCCCCTCCATTACTGGACGTCAGCAAAAGCTGTTCAGCACTCTCTGCTGTTTAGGGTTTTGCGAGATACCTATGGCATGCATGATTCCGTCATCTTGTAAAAAGCCTGATAAGTTGACAATGCAGAAAGTGGGGTTGTGTATCTTTTACGTTCGTGAATAGGCAGTTATTAAATTTATGCAGGGTGTGAAAATTTTTTGAAAACACTCGTCCAGTATGAGAACCACTCGTCCTGAGATCAAATCTACTCGTCCCATGTATTATGTAAGATCAGTACAGTAAACATAACAAAACATGGTATCAATTAACATTTTAACGATTGGTTTCCTTTGTTGATCATGGCAAATTAGCTAAGGTATAAACCACCAAGCTGAGCTACATAAGTATAGTGTCATTTTAATCTGTAATCATTCAGTTTATCATCAGATACAACTTCAATTTCAGGTAGCTGATCAATTTCACTTGTGTTTTTCCTCTCAGACTGTTGATGAGATGATGAAAGATGTCTCCTTGTTTTAGCAGAATGAATCCAAGTGTAGACTGCTTTGTCAGCTTGAACAGTAGACAAAGTGTCTGTCATCAGTTTGATCCTCATTAAATTTTGCAGGGTAACCTAATTCATCTGAGATCTATATGTAGTTTTGAGCTTATTCATGGCACTAAAGGCTCTTTCACAGAGTGCTGTGCAAAGGGAGAGTGTCATCATAATGTTCACAAGGACTAGAATGGACTTCAAATTGTCTGGATTAAGTGTCAACAAGTTAGCATAAGCAATTTGAGGACTTGTTGCTCGCTGTCTGTTCAACCGCAGTTTCAATTCTAGCCACTGTTTAGAAGCCGCTGATATATGATAACAGTTATCATTTGAATTTGTTTTCTTTATTTGAATTGTTTCACTCTCATCTGTACTAGAAATTATTAGAAATATTGATGCGTAATTCTTTTAATTCCGGAACATAGTGTCGGGTGATGTGTTACCATATTATATCAATCTACCTCAACGAAATGCTTGCATGACCTGAATTGGATGAGCACTCACCATGCTATGCTCCGTTGTTTGCGTGGTACGCATGTGTGTACCGAGTTCCAATACGGAGAGTTAACAATGAAATTAAGACTGGTTGATCTTTTTACGTGACTTTAATGAATGTAGTGCCTATATTTATGGATTAAAAAAAAACTAATTGCACTCGTCCCAAGTGACGAGCCCAGTTGAAGAACCGCTCGTCCTGGGCAGTTTTTCACCCGTCCAGGACCGGTGGAC